CAACTCGTGCTAACAGCAGCCGGGAGCAAAACCGCAGGGGACCCTCCCCAGGCCCTCGGGAGGACCAAGTTATGAACCCCCAGCACCCGAGGGCTCTTCCAAGCTGAGGTGCTGAATGAGCAGCAGCTCCTGTGCCCCCACGTCCTCCCCGAAATCCAGGTGGCCTATCTCCTCATTTTCTGCTCCAACTGCTCGATAATCGCACCAATTCAGAAGCAAGATAAAGAAACCGCTAAGATGAATCTGCAAAGCCAACTGGGACGGGCACAACTGACAAAGGAGTGACGTACTTGTCCATACAGCCGGATAGCTTGGTTATGCTGTCTGCACGTAACTGCCGCGATCAAATGCTGTTTGAAGAACTTATTAAAAGCCTAAGGCTACAAAAAGATAGCAATCCCTTCTTAAGAAAAATGCTCTTCACTTAACTACACCTTGACACTAAAAAGTCAATAAAGACGGATTTCCTTAGAAAGCCCAGAAAACAGCAAAAAATGTTAGTATACATAAAAAAAACAGGATGGGGTTAGATTTTGAACTTGCTGCTACAAGAACGTGGCTGAACGCAAACAGAAGCAGGAAGGTCACCGATCTAAGAAACATTAAAAGTTCGCAGCCAGCGCACACGGCCACCCCTGCGCTGTTGTTCAGCAGCAAAGACATCCCAGGAATAACCCCGGGCAGTCAGTCCCAGCTCCTAGGACTGGCTTGTGTAGAGCAGCGATCCGGAATCCAGCTACTCGGTGCTTTATTTCCCCTTTGTCAGTTGTGAAGGTGGAGGAGGGCTGACTTCAAATTCTGCTTTTTTTCCACTTCCACGTCTTTAACTAGGAAGCTGAATGCCTTGGGGCAGCAGAAGTTGATTCCCCAGATGAGAAGGGAACTACTAACCCATCGTAATAGTGTGAATCAGAAAGGTGATCACCGGAAATATATGTTGGCACAGAAATACTGCTCTCCTCAGCTTTGGCCACTCTTCAAACTCTCTTTGTTACTGACCTACCAGGCACACCAGATTCATCTGCTGCTTTATTTCCATATTGTGGGTTTCTTTGCTGCCCCGCAGCAGCTCCCAGTTCATAACTTCTTACCACTCCTGGGATTTCTTAAGGTATTCACTACAAACCTAAAATAATCTACAGCGTTGTCCGAACACAAATGAAAGGATATGACCCTACTTATAATGAGGGATGCCCCAGACCTGGAGCAGCACGGACAGGCCTTACAAACACTCCCAAACACACAGTTATTGTCAGCAGCACAGCAAATACCAAACTTTACGACTTAACCCTATACCATATTTGATGTTATAAAAACGCATCCCTCAAACTGAGGCTAACTCATCCGTCCGTACGTACTAATCTGGTGCAAATTCCTCAGAATTTTACACATACAGAAACTTAGCTTCATGTGTTTAGTCTTGAAGTGGCTATTTAATTTTTTTCCCCATAAAAGCTGATATTTATGCCCTATGTAACTTCTTACTTTATTCTGAGGTTTGCTGTAAATACAGTACATGGTTTTACTACCATATATAGTCCATGCAGATGTACATGTGCAACTTGCTACCAAACGAAGAAATGTGAAAACAGTTTCCCAAACTCTTTCTCACAAGTGAGCCTTTTAAAAATAATAAAAGGGGTCACGTTTGGCAAAAAAATACTTGCTTCCTTCTAACATCAACATACTTCACTTGAAATAGTAACTCTCTCTCACAAGTGAGCCTTTAAAAATAATAAAAGGCAAAAAAATACTTGCTTCCTTCTCCTCTAACATCAACATACTTCACTTGAAATAGAAGTTCTGGCTGAAGTCCTGAATTTTAGATAGATTGCAAACTATCACCTCCTGGAAAAGAGTATGTTTTGTGATCCCTGATATAACACATTTTGAATATTAACATCAGGTAGCGTGAGCTATTTCCTCCTGCTACTGCGTTGAAAGTACCTGCTCCAAAAATGCTGTCAGCGAAGGCTGTGGCTGTCGCTTGCTTCACAATCTATAGTGCTTCACACTATAGTCTTATCAGCAGACTGCCTTACAGACAGGCTAACTTCTCCTAGAAGCATGGAATGAGTCACATCCTGACAAAAAGCACATCTCCACCTGCAAACAGTTTCAAGATGACAAGAGTTTAGATAGCTGTAATCAACTTCTCCTGTAAAAGAGAGTGCTAGAACAGTGCTTGGGAAACATGAATGGATTTTGTGGGTTTTCTTTATCTGACATGGGTGAAAACAAAAATGGCTGAATGGCAGACTGTAATTTTGCACTTATCTATGGAACAGCAAAAATACCAAAGTACTTTTTTTCTTTAGAAAATACCAGAATAATTCCAAGCAGTCATTACTATTTTAAATGTAATGAGTAACTGCAATTTATAGAAAAACTTCACAGTCAAAAAACCTTGCTGACCCGATCGTTACGGTACAGCACAGCTTCCCAGCCCCCTAACTGAAGAGCCCTCTTTAAAAAAAGAACCGCAAGAACATCACATTACATACCGTACAGCCACAGAGGACACTGGCCACCTCATTAACTCCTAAGCTAAACATTGAACCGTCATTACTATATTCCCCTGTCTGCCTCAGTGTCTGTGAATGTGAAAGGTTTTTTGGGCGAGTGGAGGAGATGGGACACCTCTCACTAAAAGAGATTTTTTCCATGAACTAAGCTGTTCCAGACAGCTTGGAAGGTTCACGCAGAAACTCCTAATGATTTGGGCTGACAATTTTACCACGTTGGCCTGTCATAGTATTAGAGTTTATGGTTGTTGTTAATGCTGTGAATACAGTTGGGTTTTGTTTTGTTCCCCAAGTGAGGCACTTAACCCCCTCCCTCTGCTTTTGTTTATCCAGAGTTGGAGAGCCCCCCCTGCTTTATGCTGTAGAAATGCAACCACTGCCCTAAAGAGCTTACTTTGTAGTGGCACAGAACACATAAAAGAGGATGGGATGCGAGCGTTACGCGCTTCTCTCTCCAGGACAGAGCTTGAGGAACTTGAGCACGCAGGAAACATGCTGGACGTGGAACCTCTTCAGTCTCAAGATCACAAGATGCTTAATCTTCAGCCTCAGTACATGCAGACTTAATTTGGTCCTATTTGTACAAATCGAAACCCCATTAAAAATAAGACTGGAAATACAAAGACAGCAGCAGAACTGGATCCTTACTGTACCTGGAAGAGATTAGTACTGCTTGATTGAAGAATAAAGACCACATCTTTAAGAGATACATTTTATTTAACACACAAAACAGCTATTTTGCTGTTTAAGTTCTGGCTTATTTAGTGCATTGAATTGACAAACTAGGCCTAAAAAGCTCTGTTTTTGAGAAACCAGAAACATTACTCGCCATTCTATGGTTTGCTGACAAAGAACATGATGATAACGTTTGCACAAGCTCTCTTTTAGTTAGTCTGAGCCTACCTCGAGGGGAATTTTGTCATCGATATACTTGTAAGATCAGGCACTGCGTACTTCATAACAGGGTAAAGAAAACACGGTAATTTCAAACCAATTTCCAAATCCTGAGTGGGTAATTTAAATGACTGTAGGTTATTACTCTCCATGAAAGCTGAAGAAATATTTTGCTAAAAATATTTATTTTCAAATTTCTAACAAGCAATATGAAGTTTATGGCTACCACATGCTGATCTGCATGCTATATAAAAGATTCTCCACTGACTTAATTATCCCCTTCAGGCACTCAGTGGAATTACACTGGCAAGGAGTGAAAGAGGGGAACATACCGGAGGCTGTCAAATCCTTGCACACAGGGAATACTACGATAACCATAAGCCAAAATAATGACCGCAAACTCGGCTCGATTGTGGCAGCACAAAGAAGAAATAGTACTTCCGTTAGCAAAAGCCATCTGCTTAAAGCTAGGCACCAGGAAGAAATTAAGTCCTACACACACAAGTAAACAGAAGTACTTGCAAAGCCTGATTTACGTATTTCAATTTCAGAACAACAAATACTTCTCTTCCCATAGTCTCTAAAACTGGAACGTGTTCTGCTCTGCCACGTCTTCCCTCGCTCAGCCAGGGCAGCCAAGTTACACATACGCTGCACTCTTTGGCACCGCAGAAGGAACAAACAGGATATGGCATAGGTAAACACATTAATTTTCTTTGCTATCCTACAAATGTAATTTGTGCCCTTAAGCACTGCACATTCATCTTGATGTTGGAGTATTATGTTGAGAAATCATCTTTTGCAAGTTTAAACAGACCACTAATGGTGGCTGAACAATTTTACTTCTAAATAAGCTAATTAGTCTCTCTACTTACTAAAGCTGATAAAGATCATCATCTTCTAATATTTATTTTAAAAGATACGATTTTTATAACAAACAACTCACATTTTTTGTTTCTGACGCTACTCTTTGCACAGTGGTAGCGAGCAAGTAGGTAACTTTGCACAAGCGATGGCAATATTACATCTGCTAAAATGAACAGTTGAAGTTATGGGTTATTTTTCACACAAAAACCCTGATATGAATCAAAAGCTTTTTACCAAGACTTGATAAAATTAACATTCCTGAATTTCCCAATTATAGAGCAAGGGCAGATGATAGTCCTGCAAGCCCCATAAGGAGGTTTGGGGGAATAAACATTTAATATTTCTATTGCACAAAAAACAGTCAAGAAACTTTACTTCTGCCTTTTTTTTTTTTCTCAGTCTTGAATTTTTTGTATGAAAGAACAATGGAGAGACGCATCACCATTTGTAAAGCCCACCATTTCTTTCTTAAGATATAGTACAAAGTAAAGCAAAAGGATTCTTTTTTGAATGCAGGGCATTTAATAAATTAGTGGACAAACTGCTTAAACTGATGATACATTTTCACAGATATAAGTGCAACTATTTTTCTGAAAAGAAAGGCAAATTTGGTTGTTCCTCAGCACAAAGATAGTTTACGTACACCAAGAGGTAAATACTTATTTGGCCACAGACGATGCTTAGCTCAGGTAGAATTTACTTCTTTCTCCACGTCATCATCGTCGTCAACAACCTGAAATCAAATCCAGAAGTAGCTTAGGTAAACAGTTTAAACTCTCAGTCCCGTAGGACTGCATAGAGAATTTATTACATTAAATCCTTGCTAGACCTAAGGAGAACAGCAGTTATTCTACGCCACTGAATGACAATGGTCACATGAAGAAGGTAAGAAAAACTTGCTATCAAAAATGCCAGGAGGAAATGTGGCTGAAATAATAGGAGCTGGTCAAGTTATTACAAAGGCCACTAGAACAATCACTACAGCGTATCAGATTTTTAATGAGAAAGCAAACGAATCTGCGTTTTAGGGGACAAGAGCTTGTCCCTTATTACCACACACAGTCACCAAAGCACACAGGTAACAATCACTGTCAAAGACAGAGCCCCCAGATCTGGGCTCCTCAGTAGAAGAGGGACATGGGCATACTGGAGAGAGTCCAACGAGGAATCGCCTCCCTCAACCTGCTGGCAACACTCCCCTTAATACAGCTCGGGACATTGTCAGCAACCTTTGCCACAAAGGCACATTGCTGGCTCAAGTTCAACTTGGCATCCACCAGGACCCCAGGTCCTTTTCTGCAAAGCTGCTTTCCAGCCAGGCAGTCCCCAGCATATTTTGGTGCATGGGGTTGTACAGGACTCTGCAGAGTTCTGGGTCTTTTGCTAAGATACGGCTTCTGACTTGGAAAAATCGCACCTGTATACCCTGTACTTCTGCTTAAACTGCCAACCTGTCTACGCTGGAAAGGGAGAAAGACCTTCTCTTCCATTTAAAACAGCTATTCTCTCTCACCAACCCACCTGTTCCACGCCTTCTACTTCAGGGATGTAGAACTGGAGCATGTTCTGTATCCCGTTCTTCAGGGTGATGACGGAACTGGGACAGCTGGTGCACGAACCCTGCAACTTCAGCTGCACAATCCCATCCTCAAAGCCTTTATAAATAACATCACCACCATCTTCTTGCACTGTCGGCCTGATGGAACACGATACTCAATTTAAAGCAAGTATAGCTGAAATGCATGTCCTTCCAGAAATCGTTAGTAAAGCTCAATTTAATATAGACAAAGAACTGTCAAGATATAGTAACTAAAGCCCTCTTTCTCTATAACCACCTGGTTCAAATTTCCAACAACTCATACTTCGCTGGACTCTCTCACATCGATGGCTACTGTGTTTCCATAGGACATTAAGCAAAACATATTTGCAATGAAGGCAGCAGCATACGAAGGAATCATTGAAATTCCAGGAGCGAGGGTAAGCACCTTAGAGTAGAGCTTGATTCAGCCTGCAAAGACATACTGGTTTGCCTTGAGTCCCTCTCCACGTGTAACGATGATTGCCTCAGTTATGTGCCAAATACAATAGGTGTGTGTCCTACCACACGGTGCATGTGCATCTGTTACCTGACTAGGAACAGCGATAAGAAGGCCTTAAGTGCTTCCATAAATAAATAAACAGTTCACCTTAGTTTACGCAGGACAGAAAAAAACTCCAACTATCTAAAAGCTTAATCCTGCTAATAGATGAAGAAACCAGCATCTGATAAGATCACATCCCACTACTATTAGCATTTCTGCAGCCTGGTCTCCTTTTGCAAGCAACAAATGCCCAGCATTGTAACTGTATCCCCATAGCAACATTTTTCCAGACCCAGCTAAAACCGTCAAGTTACTCTAACAGAAGCTCTTTATACTGATTTCCAAAATAACTCTTTTGAGCTACACTCCTAAGAGAATAATCTATGAATTCGACACATTTATTAACAACTCACCATAGCAAATTATCTCCATTCCAGAAAGCCAAAGAACATGACTAAAAATGCCATTTTTCTTAGTTGAAATTAACTTCTTTAGCACACTACAGGACCTTTCAGATCCACATTCCCTCCACCTGCACCTTCTGACAACTTCCTTGCACATATTTTTGATCGACTAAACAATAAATGCTCTGTATGTACCACTGGTTTATATATAGCTTCTGTAAACTATCCTGCTATAAAATGAAGTAAGATACACTACTGCTAATATTCTTATCAACAGCTTCTTGGTCCACCAAGGGGTACGGGGGAAGGAAATGAAAGAAAGAAAAAGGTGGGGAAAACCAGAAATTTGGGCAGAAATTCTGTGACCGTTACAAAAGGCCACTGGGAAATCAAGGACTAACATACCATAGGGAGCTTAAATGACCACATACCCAGCAGGAGCAGGGCCTCCCGCATGTTGCTTTCTATCATGGCTTTACACAACAGTATGCTTGCGTTACACGCTTCAACACTTAGTACATATGCTTGGGAAAAATGTTCCAGCTTATTTCTGCTTTTCTCCCTCTTTCCTTTCAGGAAAATTAACAAGTACCGTGTGTCAGCTGTGACATAACCAAAACGGTATTTTTAAATATCACTTTTAAAATGCAACATCTAAAAAAAAAGAGATAAAAAAGCCCAAGTTCGTCCTAACTTCTGGAAAAATCAAACTGAATTCTATGATTTTGACCCACATACAAGTTTCTGGTTCCTGTAATTTGTGAGGCGGAGAACATGTCACCATCCCATATCACAGCTTCAGAAAAACATCAGACCTTTTCCCTGGCATCTAAAATGTTAAGTTGCTTATTCCTTTCAGTTCACTTTGGAAGGCAATTAATGAGCATAAAAATATACTTCAGGTAGACAACATGATCCATAGTCACTCTTGAGACTTCATTAGTTACCACCAGTTTCTAAAATCAAGCTGTGTTAAAATACCAATAAAATTGCAACAGAATGCAAGGACAAAATCCACTGAAGCCCAGACAGTGAGGGAAACCCACTAGTACATTTTCCTTTAGGGTATGATACGAGAGGCTAAACTACTTTGGCATACTTGGAAGGGAAGGACAAGTACAATTAAGACAGAGATTAATACAACAGAGGGGGAAAAAAAAAGTTACTGTAAAAGCAAAGATTGTGTTGTTTTCACTATTTAAAAATAGCCAGGTTAAACCCAATGGACCTGTTTAAATGGATTATGGAGGGTAAGACTATACACGGTTCTAAAAATCACTCAGCAATAAGGACTCTGTTCAGCACATAGTTTGTTTAAGCAGCGAAACTAGATAGAAAGTTTTCAATCAGAGGAAACGGCATTCTCAACTCTGGCCAGTTTTGCACTTCAAACCCCCTCACTAGATATTGAACCACGAAATCACACATACCCGAAGAAAAATGCACTGTTCCCTAAATAAATCCAGACCCCCAAGACTAACTCACTCCATTTAGCAGCATGTTCCCGGTTTACCTTATTCTTGTATCCAGCAGTTCTTTAATCATCAGTACAACTTCATCGTCTTCTTCTGATGCAGCTTGGGAAAAGAAAAATGTGCCCATCAGAACTTGGAGAGAATTCCGATATGATTACTAACACTGTATATCCATAATGGCAGAATGAAATAGCATAAAAACATTGCTGAGACGACTGAAACCAAAAGGCAGAAGTCTTAATTCAAAGTAAGTATCTTTTTCTGCCTTATCCTTGTTTACATCCCAGGCTTTCGCCGACAAAACCCAGTATTGGTTCAGAGCTCTTCTCAACAGGCAAAGCCCTTAACAGACAATAGCAGTGCCACCTTTCAAAGGAAGCTACAACTAACATTCAATAAGGATGCATGGGTAAAGGCAGGGTCCTCAGAAGGAAAGTTTCAGCAACCTGAAAAATTCAACAGGAGAAGAATTATCAATGTGTTTGGGTTTAGCAGCTCTGGATGCCAGTTTAAGCTCAGTGGTAGTCTCGCAGAAGCATTTTTAAAGACAACTTTCTCAAATAAAATGAAGTCTATTTAACATTGAAATTAAATCCAGACATAACAGAGCAGAGAGGAATTCAATAGTCATAATCTTCCTTAAAACACTGGAAAAATTGTTTAAGTTGGTAAGTTGCAAATAAGAAAACAGAAGGCAAAATACTGCCCTTGAGTTAAATTCTGAGTTAGTCTCAGTTACTTTCCATTACAGTTTGGAAAAGACTTCTTACTATTTCTTTTCCATTTAAGACCATAAACCTATCATTAAGACATGGACATTAAGCGTGGGCACTCTTTTTGATTTAAGGAGGGAAATAAAACCCTTTGTAGGTGCCCGTACAAAAAGGACCCGCAGTAACACCCCATAGCTTTCTAAACACAGCCTCAGCACTTGCAAAAATATTTCACACACACAAAGCATAACAGAACATGGTTCATACTGCCAAAACACATAGTTCAGCATAGCTCCTGCAAAGATATACTCCTCATACTCCAGCAGATGAGAACTAGGCTTCACATTCATGGGTAAGCAACTCCTTTAGACAGTGCAGCATTGCTTCCACCAGAACATACGCGTCCTGCAAATTCTCTCGTCTTAATTTTCGCAGTTTTCACTTTAAATTCTCTTGAATGCTTTTCTGAGGGAAAAGTGAATGGTCTTCTGGATGTCACAAAAACTAAACCCAAAGGCAGATACTGGCCTCTTCCTGAAGAATTTGATTTACCTGTATCGGTCCTAGGTGCCTCTTCAGTAACTACAGGTAAGCCAGAGGCAAAGAAATCCATTATAGTTGCATAAATATCTGGTTTCAGTAAGTTCCAATCCAGGTCTTCACTCTCCTAGTGGAAGAATCAGAAGAAAAAAAAAAAAAGAATAAAAACAGAGTATCTGCCTCCTAATAATAGTACTAAGTTACGCAAAGATTCTCCTTACGTTAAAAAATATCGTAATGGGCTCTCACGTTTAATGCACGGATTCGATTTCATAGTTTTGTCAAGTTCAGCTTTACCAAAAAAGTTCAGTAAGTATAATAGTCAACAGAAAGGTTTCCTTGTTTGCAAGCCAAGCGCTATTAAAATATTAGCTAAGAAGAGGTGAAAAATTACGTCTCCTAAATACATTATTCGACACATATTTTTACCAAACTGTTTCAGAGACTCAAGCTTGTTTGGTTCCATTTAATTTTGAGCCAAATCATCATTCACTGAATTGCCCTGTGCTCTTCACACAGTAAGAGCGTAACTGCACGGTTACTACGCAACACCTTATCTCTGCTGACATGAGCTCCACACCTTGGGTAAACACACCACCGCCTGCAATGTACTCCATCCCAGCCACACAATCATCTCGTTTGGAAGCCTTCTCTGGAGGTCATCCAGCCCCAATTCCCATTCAAAGCAGAGCCAACTTCCAAGCCGACCATGTCGCGCAGGGCCTCGTCCAGTCCAACGTTGACCACTTCCAAGATCAAAGAACCTACAACTTCTCTGGGCAACCTATTCCAGTGCTTACCCACACATCGTGATTTTTTTTTTTCTTTTATATTAAAGACAATTCCCTTTATGCCGCTTGTGAACATTGCCTCTGGTGCTTTCGCTATGGATGTCCAAGAGCCTGACTGGATCTTTTCTACGGCCATCTATTAGATTGCTGAATCTCAGCTCATATTTTAGTACATTTGACTCTCTGTTCTGCTTACCTTGGTGATTGTGATGAAGTCTGGTCCAAAGAAAATACTTTTAACTCCTTCGATTTTGAATAACTGTCTGTTAAGAAAACAAAAATGCACACACATTTCACGCAAACTCCTAAACAGGAAAGAAGTTCTAGAATACATTTCTAGACAAAAATAAGCACTAAAACCAGAACCATTAAGAGAAATTCACAGTTTCTTCACCTACAGCTTAGCAAGACCCAGGAGATCCTGCTGTGAAGCAGTGTATGTAGTAAAACTGAATACCTCTTAAAGGACTTTTCCACAAGATGTGTGAAAGAGTTACTCTCTCTCCAGTTCTTCTCTGGAGGCAAAATTATATTCTGTACATAAAAACATATTTGATCAGCATCAAAACCAGGAGGTACCTATTGTTTCAGGTAGGACTAGTGCAAATACAAGGAATGTTCCTGAGATTAAAGCAAGTTATTTAAAGTAGTTGAGCTCAATAAAAACTGCCTTCAATTCTGTTGCCATTAAATAAAAGGATTAGTGCCAAGCAGTCCACAAGGCTTTAACACACCAACTCACTTTGTGAGCAATCTTCAATATTTTTAGTGATTTGTATGGCACATGAAAAATCTGAAGATTAAGCCAAGGCTTAAGATTCATACTAAATTGCTTGAGATGGCGCCATACAGCACCCAACAACCAGGTGGTAAATTAGCACACAACCAAAGCAACACAAGAATTTAGATGATAGCGAAGAGCTCAATTTTGCCAATATTTTAAGTATAAAATACAGAATGAGAATGTAAAGACCAATTTCCACAAATTGTTAAATAAAACCAAACAAATTTATCTACTGAATAAATAAATGATGCTACTCACAAAGAGAAGAGTTAAAAAAAAAACCAAACCCTAAAAAAATCATTAAAAGTAGGAAGCACCCAGAGTTAAATACAGCATAAGGCTGTAAGAGTGTTTTTGTAATTAAGGGGGGGGGGGAAGAGAAAAAAAGATATTCTCCTGAAAGACTGGAAAACATCAAAAATGCAACGAATGAAGGAACTGGAAATCTTATCACAAAGGTATGTGTGATGAAAAATGACAGAAGAGATTTCACAATACCCATTTGAAAGAATTTCCACACAGGAAACAGTTACACGCGTATTGGGCTTTTACATTACTAAACCAACTGGATTTTAAAGTTACTTAAATAATGAAATTATGCAAGTGCACCAAACCATCCCAGATCAATTAAACAATTCTCCTGCCTCCCTGCCCTTCAGGAAGCTTTTATTACTTCTTTGGAAAATTAATATTCCCTTTTAAAATAAATGAGTATTCCATTTACAAAAACCATAATCTGGAGTTTAATGATATATAGTAGACATTTTTTTTTCCATTAACCTGCACAAAACATATAATCAAGCTGTTCTGCCACAGTACAGAGTCTAGCACATACATCATCTTTGATGAAAACGTCTATTTGCAGATATATGACAACAAAAAGCCATTTTCTGACAGTCGGTTGCATTCTGCAACCTGATGCACTTTGGCATAATCGGATCCTACAGCTTCAGCGTTCCGCTAACATGTTTTGATGTCCTCAAAAACCTTTCACATTGTATTTATTACTTTAAGTCACAGAGCTTTGCTTGTAAAGATCCTGTTTGCTCTCAAACAACTCTGCAAGAGACCTTTGGAAACGTTGGAGCTGCATATTTGATAGCGCTAGAGCTCCTGGAGAGACTGTCACATGAAACAGCTTCTACTTTTGCATATAATTCTTTCAACATACACAAAGATGTCTTAAACTGGGACCTCTGGAGGTAAGCTATTGCAGCATTTCTAGATCTCACCCTCAAATTGAAGCCCTTCCACCCACGTAACAGATCAAGTTTCTTTTCAGAGGCTAATGTGAAAGCAATGACAAACATGCAAAAAGAATGCTTCCAAATATTCCCAGAGAGGCTTGTGATGGTGCTCCAAACCCCTTCTATACCAAGATGATATGAACCGATTATCTGCTCAGATCAATATCTTACTCCAGATTATGCATTTTGGTATTGAAAACTGCAACTCCCGAGACCTGTTATAGATCCAGGCTGAAAGAGTGGGCCAGAACTGGCTTTCCTTTGACCAAAACCTTTTGTGAAGGAAAAATCCATTGGCTTTGAAGTTCAGGTTTTAGCACCAACATCTGCCAAAACAAGCAAGCTACTACATTTAATTTGCAGTATTTGGGGACTATTTACTTCCTTATGCTGTCTATTTCCCAATTCTGAAAAGTTGCATGATTTCCAAGCAACTACTTGAATTAAGAGTGTTCTGATGGGAATGATTTAGCGAAATCAGGGCCAGAGGTCTCACCGGTGATGCAGCAACTGCTCAAGAATACTGATTTATAATACCACTCAGTCCAGCTGCATCAACTAGACCATGATGCATTCTGCTATGATACAGCCGTGGAGAGTACAGACACCCAGAAAGACAACTTTAGTAATAACAATCTTCCCAGATTTAATTTTATGCATGAGTAAAGTGGCATTAAAAACTTAAATCCAACCAAGCTGCTCCTGCGTATAAGGAGGAGCAGAATGATCAGAAGCTGTACTTAAAAACATCACTTGTAGACACACAGCCCATATTGGTCCCCCAAACAAATTATGATGTGTTTAATAATACCTTGCTAAAGGTGAGCAAAATGCTGCCGCTGGTGTGGAAAACTCCATAGTCCTCGATTCCAGCACTTCCTTCCCTGGAATAAACTTCAAACTATTTGGATTTGGTGTGTCCTGAGTTTGAATAAACATGCCTCTTACTGGAAATTAAAAAAAAAAAACCACAAAACAAAACAAAGAGAAGAAAAATAATGTAATCAAACCTAAGTAGCTTAAATGAAAGTCAAGGATCCCGATGACTTAGCAAGCCAAGACCAGGGTGATGACTGCGCTATAGCAAACAGCACCTGCGCAGCAATGATACTTCAGAAACACAATGCAATGGGTTCCATGAAAGCCTCTAGACTGACATGAAGGCTGATAAACACAGGCATGTTATCTCACAGGGAGCAAGATGATAAATGGAACCTTGTCTTTGCTTCTTTTGCTAACTTTTATTTACTAAAAAGCATCCTACTGCAACAGCATTGAACCGCATGAGGCCAGTACCATCCTCGCTTTCTACCGAAGGCCAAGGGATGCAACCTTCATTTCTCTGCTGTGTTTAGGGTTTTTTTTTATTTTATGATCCTCAAATGCTGTGAAGTCCCTCTTCCAGCATTATCACTTCCTGCTCAAAGCATACTCAGTTTTGCTAACCCCCTCTTCAAGATACACGTGGTTTATGGGGTTCGGTTTTTATTTCATTTTTCAGGACTATAAAAAAAGAAAAACAAGCATAACAACAGTTACAGTGAACCACACCCTGCTTATAATATTTTCCACAGAGTGAAAAATTATCACTTATCCTCCAGGAATTGAACTGACCAAACAATTCAAAATAAAATTATTCATTGGTAAAGATGTTTAAAAGATAAATTTTTACTGAAGTTCCTTTTGCAGCGTGGGTCTTCCTTTCACTAGAAGAGTGTAATAAAACCTGATCTTGACTAAAATTTAATACTCTACATTTAATGATGTACATTTAATAGCGTATTTTCCTGTAGACATGTCCATGCAGCATATGCCTGATGCCCCACTGAAGCTGAACATCAGCGAGAGACAGCTTCCTGTGTTCCAATTCTCTTTTAGTTCTCCCCCTTTCTAACTCTCCCTGCACATCAAGTAACACAATGATATACGAACATTCAGGAAAGAAAATATGCATTTTAAAAACAAAAATCTCTAGGAACTAGTATCTAAAAATAAATTATACTTGAGAAACAAGCTCACGTAACTTGAAAATATGCAATAGAGGGATTTAAAGCAGCAAAAAGAGCTGACATTTTCATTTTCGTAAACTGCCATTTTGCCATGACTCCCTAGTATTAGATGACAAATCACGCTATTTATAAATTGCCAAATTGTTACTGCATGTGTCTGTCATGGTAACAACCCATTTGACTTGAACATACACAATGGGAAAGTACGCACACACTACATTTTCTTTTCTTTTTTTTTTTTTTTTAAAGGAAAAAAGACTGAGTACATAAGTACTTAGTTTTAATATGAAAAGAATAATCCTGATAGAGCAACTAGTCAGCTTTATCCATGGGGATGGAAGAACTACTCATCTTCCAGATCCAGCTGGCACCCAAAACCACATCCAGCGTTAACAGTGTAGTTTACAAATAACCAACAATGGGAGATTTGGATGGCGTAAATGGAGTACACTCTGCCCGTTTTTTGAAAGCAATGGGTCACTAACAGCTATCGTACGTTGTTCGTCTGGCATCTCTAACACCCTAAAACACAAATGGCTGGATCAGCTCTCAGAAAAGGTGTCCATGGGGGTAGCCGCTGCATTTTAAGTGTGTCTTCTGCAGCTGAAGATCTGCTTTCCTAAGACCAGGTTTTTCAATCATTAATCAACCTGGAGAGTTCTTTGCACAGCTGTGAATAACCCGTTTGGAATTTATTATTCAGTAGTTGGTAACTGGCTGTATTTACATCAAACATCTGTATTCATTTCTTTCAACCCTCTGCAGAATGCTGTGTATACCTGCTTATGATTCTGTTCTGCCATCTGCTCAAGGTGAGAGGAAGATACCAAATAGAGGCCGACTTTAGCAAGACACTTCTAGAAGCAGGTAAAATACTAAGTCTACTCGTCAGAGTCTGCCGCTTGATTAGAACTGAAACAGAAAAAATAGCGCCAGACCAGACAAGATTGGACTTCTCTGAACTAAAAATTAAAAAGAAACTTCTGCCTGAGCAGACTCATTTAAATAAGATTTCCATTTGTGACTAAGTCCATGCAACAGCACCTGCAGAATTTTTTTGTCTTAGACTCTTTCTGCCGCCGCATTGGAGGGCAGTTGCTAAATCCCTTAGGCAGGTGCAAATGCACAATATTTTATTGCAGTGCATTACAGCCTACCAAAAAATGGTAGGTACAACAAACTCAATCTTAAACATTGCTTTTTCAGAGTAATACCAAGTTGCAGATAATATTAATGGAAAATGCCATTAATGCACCAAACATGGATGCATGTTCAAGAGGGGGAAAATTAAAAAAAAAAGAAAATATTGCAACTCTAAGAATAAAAGGCTTCGCTTTCATCCTTGCTAGGTTCTATCTGGATGGCCAGCAATTTTATCTGGCAGAGCTCAGCAGCTGAAGCAGGACAGAAGGCAACGCAAAGTCTTTCACAAGGGATACGTTTACACTAACAGAGAAATTGAATTAAGAACTGCAGCAAAGCCCAAATAATATTTTGCACCAACAAAGTCCCTTATAAGTCTTGGCAGCCAAATGACATAGGAAAAACATGTATAATCAAGCACAGCGTGAGCCATCCACATCTTCTCCCCAAGCTCCAAATGTCCAAATGCACTAGCACTTCACTAAAAACCACCTAGGAAATGTTATCACACTCAGATTTCAGAAAGCAGAGTAGGCTTTCATTATTACCACAAGACATAAAAACTTACAATGCACTCATCTATTCATTTTTAGCTAGTATTTACCTGTATTATGCCATACTGCAGATGGAAAAAACGGTTTCTTCTGCACAAGTTGGTGGAAAGACTGTTGAGTTGTCCAATTATGATCTTTTAACATCGTACGACAGAACCTAGAGAAAAATAATTTTACTAACAATTTCCAAGTTGCAAGGTTGCACTACCCCACAGAAAGAGTATTTCACACACTTCTAGCAACCCCAGAACTCAGCAAGATGCTCACCTACCTTAAACCTCTCAGGTAACGTAGCAAGCTCACAGGCTAGATCACAAAACATCCCTTACTTTTTCTCCTTTTCAGTGCTCCCTCTCTCTCATTTCATAACAAAATAGACATAACTCTCCAATTTTAGCCACCTAAAAATTAATCTAGACTCCTTCACAGTCACTAAAGACAGGCAAATCACCTACTTACCTATAAAGAAGAGGATAAATCACCCTAAGGGAGCCTTTTTTCTTCCTCTGGACAGTAGCAAGCACCTGGAAATCTAGCTTGGACTAAATACCTAATTTTCAGAAGATTACAGACAGCTGAGATGATCCAACCCCAAGCACCTGAGGCTAAATCAAGGCTAGCATTTACTCCTATACTCTGTGGGTTTAGCTGGTCAAACATAAGGCTCTCCTACATGACTCTTAGAAGATAAGATACAAGACAAGCTAAAAAGGTAATGCAATGGCTACTCTTACACAAACAATACTCATAAGAAAAAAATACCAGGACAACATTTGGATAAAAGATAAAAACTCTACTAGCTACACGTACCAAGCCATACCTCACCCCTGTCCACCTCTATGTATTTCTTCCATTTGGGGAATAAAGAAATTCAGTATATTCCAGTACAAGTACTGTTCCAGAATGAAACCAGACCGGTTAAAAAGAGGCCCTGCTCCATACTGGCCACATAACTCGCACTAGCAGTCAAAACAGGGGTGGTGTCAGCTGCTCAGATGAAGCTAACAGGGGGGAGAGCAGAGGGGAAAAAAGGAAAAAACATTAAGAGAAAAAGCAAGGCGGAGTGATGGAGTAACAGGCCTAACTTTCTAAAGTGTAAATACTTGCTTGCACATTGATCTCCGTAACTATATGCACAGGTTACATCCAGGTATTTCAGAGCAAAGTGAAAATCAGAAAATGTAACCAAAATCCACCTCATGTCACAGATAGCAGAGATAAATATTACATACAGAGGATTATTATCTGGTTTCTCTCCTCCTTACCAGGTACAGAGGGGGGAAAGCAGCTAAACTAAATTACATCTGCAGGGGCTGTTACTAAGAGAGCAGACTGACTCTCTCAGGGGGTCATAAATCAGAACAGAAGCACTACACCTAGGCCCAGATTCCTCAACCATGGGAACAGGAGAAAAGCTCCATCAACAAAATGGACCTCCGTGCTGCGAGTGAGGGAGACGCAAACACAGAAAAGGTCTAAATCATGTTATTTGGTTACTTTTGTGGTCTTGATAGCAGGTACAGAGACCTCAACAGAATGTGTGAGGAAAGTCCCCCAAGAGAAAAGTTCTCCTTTCTCCCTTTAGCTTTGGGCAATAAAGATTATAGTCCATTTTATAGTCCACAGCATGGGCCAGGAGCTGTGCCCATCACCACATGGTCCTTTGAATTTCCCCTTGCTGCACAGCCTTTAGCAACTACAGGGGAGAATTTCCCCTTACTGCTTGGCCCTGAGCATACATGTGGGGGGGAATTAACTGCTCCTCACTGCACGGTCCTGAGCACATGTGGGGGGGGAATGACCCCTCGTTGCACGGCCCTGAGCACATGTCGGGGAGAATCACCCCTTGTTGCACGGTCCTGAGCACATGTGGGGGGGGAATGACCCCTCGTTGCACGGCCCTGAGCACATGTCGGGGGGAATCACCCCTTGTTGCACGGTCCTGAGCACATGTGGGGGGGAATCACCCCTCGTTGACACGGTCCCGAGCATATGTGGGGGGGAATTACCCCTCGTTGACACGGTCCCGAGCACATGTGGGGGGGAATTACCCCTCGTTGCATGGCCCTGAGCACATGCCGGGGGGGAATTACCCCTCGTTGCACGGCCCTGAGCACATG